ACAGTGAGTTTGTTACAGCCGAACTGAGAAAGGCCCTTGACTGAGGGGTGATACGGAAATGGCCAGCAGATGCGCCCCCCCCCACGGTTATCAATGGCTTGCGGGTAGTGGAAAAAGACAGCAAGCTGCGCCTCTGTATTAATCCGATGTACATTAACTGTTTCTTGAAGTACCGGCCTGTGAAGTACGAACGACTGGCAGATGTACCTAGCTACCTCCTACTGGAAGATTGGCTGTACACCACGGACCACAAGAGCGGGTACTGGCAGCTATCACTCCACGAACGGGAGCACACATATCTGGCTATGCGGTGGCGGGGGCAGACGCTTTTTTGGCCACACCTGCCGTTCGGCCTGGCGCCGGCCTGCCACTTGTACACAAGCATGAAGCTCGAGGTTTTCCAGCCTTTACGGCAGCTAGGGGTCCGCATGTCTTTCCTGATAGACGACCAGATGGGTGCCGCGGGGTCGAAGGCCGCGGCACAGTACAAGTGTGGGGCGGTGGTACGGCTGCTGGCAGCCCTAGGCTTCACCCTCAGCCTGTCCAAGTGCCAGCTGATCCCAAGAAGGCGAGTCTGATTCTTGGGGATGGAGGTGGATGCGGAGGCACAAGCATTCAGAGGACCAGACGACAAGCTAGCTAGATTCCGTACGCTGCTCGCACAGCTCGAAGGCAAACGGCTAACAGCGCGGCAGGTGGCGCAGGTGGCCGGCAAAATCATCGCCATGACGCCCGCCGTCACCACGGCACCCCTGTATGCGTGGATGGTGTGGCGTGTAGCCCGGGGTGTGGCGTGGGACGAAGAGGTTTGGGACCCGGCGGAGGTGCTACACCAGGCAGGCTTGTTTATGGAGCTGCTGGGCAGGCGCAACGGGACAGCCACCTGGCGGAAAGGACCAGCCCTACGACTGACGACGGAACTAGTCGGGGACGCCTCAGACAGGGCCTTCGCAGCCTTCTTACCTAGAGAAGAACTGGGCGCCAACAGCCGCATGCTTGTGCCCTTCAAAGCTCAGGAAACCCAGCGGCTGCAGCGGAATGACTTTAGCAGCACAGAAAGAGAACTGCGGGCGCTGCTGTACAGCTTGCACTGGTTGCAAGAGCAGGCACCGAACCTGTTGTACGGCCGGACAGTGCAATACCAGACGGACAGCCAACCGGCAGAATTCTGCATGGTTGGGTTGAAAGGCAACACCGCTTGCCTGCCCATAGTGACGGAGATCCATCGCCTCTGCGCGGATACGGACACAGACATTTCAGTGGTGTGGTACCCACGCAGCCGGGAACAGCAGCAGCAGGCAGACGCGCTCAGCAAATACGAAGATGGATCACAGTGGTGAAGTATAAGCACTGGATGGGGCTGCCCTTTTCGGGAGCCGCAGCCGTCATGTGGCCAACACATGCTAAGGTTTTCATTCCTCGTTTAGCACATCCTAAGGTAATGCAGTTTCGTTTATGTTGTTGGGCTTTCGAGGCAAACAGAGCATGAAGGGGCAAGTACCACGTCCCCAGGGGGCAGCGGTTTTGCCACTGTTGTGGTACTAATAGCCGAATTGAGGATGTGAACGCCTGTTAATAGAATGCCCAGCCTGTAATTATATTCGTGCTGAAGAGGGATTCGGTCATCAACAGAGCATGTTGGAGGCCATGCAATGGGAACCCGCACGTGCGGCGAGGATATTGGAACATATGCGGGCTCACCGAAACTCAATTACCCCCTTTAGACGCTAGTCTGGGCTGATGTGCGGTGTTTTCCTTTCCTCCGTGGCTTTTAGGTGTTGTAGTATTACCCTTGGGCCCTCGGCTCGTATGGGTAGTCTTACAGGTATGGGGTCACGCACCCCCAACCATGTAACACACACACACACACGCATAAAACGTCTTCGTCGCAATTAAGCCCGTGAAATTTTACGGGTGCTGTGCATTACGGCTTGGGGGATTACGGGTCAAGACCTTGTGATTACGGGTAATGTAAACTGTGGATGACTTCCAGCACGGGCAACCAACAAAATGTCACCTATGTTATTCCTTATAAAAGGAATGCTTTGGCAACTTAAAAACAAGCATGTGTACAAATTTTCTTGGCCGGTAATTACATGTGAAGACCACGTGATTACGGGTAAACATGAATTTACGGGTGAAAACCTTTCCCAGAGCGATCGCTCTGCAACCGGCTGTTACTGACTGTGAAGTCACTCAGAGATCACCACGTGCCTCGTGCAGGGACCCACACCGGTCCGTATAAGACTATGTTGACCAGGCGACAGGGGCAGTCGCCGTGCAGCTGGTTGGATGAGACAGTGAGCTGCATGGGGGAGGGGAGGGGCCCTTGGTGTCACAGCACAATATTTCATTGAACCAGATTCGGTCCTGCCACCCACCTGCACACCAAGAAGCAGGGTATCAGTCTCAGCTGCTTCGTTCCCAACAGATCCCATTGATGCGGAAAGAGTCGTGCCCCAGTTCTCCCAGTGCAATCAATGCGGCTAGCTCCTCAGATGCGACTCCGCACAGCAAGTTGGCCACCTCATCGCACCAGCTGCGGTACGGCATGCGCTTGGCGGACATACCGCAGCTCAACAGCAGCTGGGTGAAGTACATGGTGTTGGTGTACCCACGTCGTCAACAAATTTACAGTTGGCTGCACGGACATGCGGGCATTTGAAACTGTCCCAATTTGACTTGTGAAGACTGTAATCCCAGACTTCGTCCTTAATGGCCTCAGGCTTGACCTCTACTGAGACCCACTCCATGTCGTCCTCCCGGAGGCCTAGCTTTAACAGCCTGTTTCGGCCCAGCTCCTTGGTGTCCTTCAGGGCCACGGGCTCGGGGATGGGCGCTTGGTCCGCCATATGGCATGATGCATCATGTGCAGTCCGAGGGCCAGCACATACTCAGCATCCTCCACAACCACCTCCTTGGTGTCGCCCACACCTAGGCCGAACGTGAACTGCGCATAGCACACGCTGTAGTTGTAGCCATCCTCCTTGGGCTTCACCACGAAAGCAGGGAAGCGCTTTCCTGGAAAGCTTTCAAAGCTGGACCCGGAGCTAGACTCCTCTGGGACATTATAACCGTATCTGTAGAACAGAAAGTCATGTCAGGTCACGAAATCGTCAGGTCAGATTTGGTGAATAACCTCACCCCAAGACCTCCGCGCCTTGTGACAAAATGTCGCAGGCAAACAGTCTCTGAAGCTTGGCAGTTCGTGTCTGATGCTGCTCGATAATGCATCCATTCATAAAAAAATACTGAGCCCTGTAAAGATCAACTCACAGAGTTTTGCTTTGTGCCACTGTACACACCAAAACTGAATCCCATCGAGAATGTGTTTCATGCACTTAAAAGCCGTGTGCGGAAGTTTAGCCCTCACTCGATTGCAGAGAAAGAGCTCGCTGCCCGTTGACTGGCTGTTGGGGCACGGGCGAGTGCAAAGGATATTTTCCATTTTCATGAATTTCTTTCCACCAATGATTGGGTACTGTACCATGGCCTTAAGATGTTTGGGGCCACTCCGGATGCCCTGAACGGGGTCTGCACCACTGCCCGAAAACCGTGTTCGCCCATTGCCGCCTGATCGCCTTGATCAAACAGGGTACTCGGCAGGATAGAAGGCAATAGGGGCCGGCAGGATGGGCTGTTGGGGCTTTCCCGACGCTCAGCAATCAGCGAGGTTGCGGATACCAGCAAGTGCACATCATGCAGGCGTGCAACACCAGGCGGCACCTCAAGCGCGTGGTGGTCACCGTAAAATTCGGTGGCCGGCATCTGCTTGACTACGAAACGTGGAGGCGCTGTGCGGCTCTTGTCCCGGCGCATCCAAAGCAACCGAGCGCCGGGCCGCGACTGAATCAGCACGCAATCGACGATCTCCTACACTTCACACGCTATGAGAGCGCCATACTCGCATGTCAGACATGAAGGGAGAAACAACACGTAATCCGCTACCGTACATTAGTCAGTTTACCATACAGCTGATAGGTAGATTAGGCAATTGGACCAGCCAACCTCAGGCAATTGGACCAGCCAACCTCTAGGCTAGAAGGGCAAGATGTGGAAAACAAAAGCTACCCAGCAAACCCGATCAGTTCTGTCTACCACTCTGCTGCTCGGTCATTGCCCCGTTGCTCCCCTTCACCATCCCGCTGCGAGTTGCAGATCGAAGGAAGGGTGAGAGGACATGCTGATGAAAACGACGCCTCGATGACGCCTCCGCATCGATGCAAGACAGGTTCCTTGCTCTTCTCAACAGCAGGATCTTACTGGAAAGCGGCATAGGTCTGTGATTTGGGATGTCTGGCGACCTTCGTTGAGTGGGCGTGAGACGCCAACGCTTAACTCGACAAAGCATGTCATGGCCGAAATCAAACAGCCCAGAAGGACTTCCCTCCATGCTTATCCAGTGCGGAACCGTGCAGGAACGTCGAATCGTTACTGCGTCACTCTCATGTGCAAGAACAGCGTTACATTGGGCCCCCCGTCAGCAATGGGTGTCCTCGGCCATTTGTACGAGCACAGCAGCCTTCCCACCTCACTCGACTTTGCGCTGGTTTATCCATACAGTAATCACAGCGGCACCTATCACGCTACTCATGAGGTATTTTTTGCCCCTGACCGGCACTAGCAAAATTGGAAGTATGGTATGTGCGCCTGCGGCATGTTGGCAAAGCGTAGTAATCCATTCCAAACATGCAGAAAAGTTCTTTTCTCCACAAGTCGAGGAACTGAAACAAGGGAATAAAAGAAATCAAGCATAGCATCATCCAAAGAATAAAAATGGACGAATGGACCCCGCATTCATAACCACAACATTGCGACCTCAACATTCGAGGCACAAACACATCAATATCATTAATGTCGAGCACAGCAGGAAAATAATGAAACAAATCGACGTTGCGGTTCAGCGAGGACCTTTATGCAGTGAGGCAGCGTTATGCAAGCAGTGCAAACGTATGGCCAGAAAAGTTACTGCTGTCCAGTGCAGCCTCTCGCCTGCCAGATCAGTGATTGTCCGCATGTGAAAACTCGTACTTGTGCATCATCTGCTCGAGCTTGGTCGTCACCAGCACCACCCCCGCCGCCACAGCCGCCACCACCAGCAGCCCCAGCCCCTCCCACGAGCCCACCAGCCAGCCAGCCGCGTGAAGCACCACGGAGAGAACACCGTTACCGGCTGAGGACGAAGAGGAAGCAGCAATGGCGGGGGCTCTCCTCCCCTCCTCCCACCCCCCTACCCCGGGAGCTCTCCTCCCCTCCTGCGTCGGAACCGTGGCGATGTAGCCACATACATACATACGTATATATGACGTGTGGAACAGGGGGGCATATCTTCACCCGTGGCAGCTACCCTGCGAAACCCTGCCTTCCCCGGTATTTCGGGGCACCCTCATCCAGTCACCCTAGCCGACTTCTCGGTGGATCGCTCAGGTTCCGCACCCACCACCGGCATCCAACGGAATCTGCCGGATCGACAGCGGCCCAACTCCATTCCTGGTCGGCTCGCGAGTAAACTTTATCCCAGGTCACCACCGTCCATCGACTAGGGGCACTCTTACCTTCCACCATCGGAAGGATTTTCGACTCTGACAGGTCTCGATCCCGGAATCTCGGGGGGCATGTACGTACATACATACTCGACATGAGCATCGCTCTGGCAGGCGGCTGGCAGAGGTTAAGGCCTGACTTCTGCTCCCAGTCGACCCAGTCGACCCGGGTTCAAATCCGCCTGCCGGCTCCTCGGGTGTTTGAGGAGTGATGAACTGGGAGGTGGCCCCCCATCTTATGGACGGTGTAGGACGTGATAATATCAACTTGCGAGCTGACCAGGAACTAAGTTGATGCGCCGTTGATCCGCTAGATTTGGTTGGATGCTGGTGGTGAGTTGCCGAACTCAACGAATACATTCTGAAGTCGGATGGGGTGACGGATTAGGGTGCCCCTCTAGCAGGGGAGAGCAGGGACTGCCCCGGGAAAGGGGGCCGCTGGCGAAGTTGACCACCCTGTAACAACATACATACGTACATATATGTGTGTGTGGCAGTACTTACGGCAGGCCACGCAGGCGCCCCATGTCGTCCCGTTTGCTTGCTGGGTGGGACCGCCGCTAAAGGGCGAACTAGAGGGATGGTGGAGACCTCCCAAGTCGCCCGGAGTCTAAACCCTCGCAGCCCTATCCAAAAACCCCCGCCAGCCCTCCCCTCCTCCCGCCCCCCTGCTCACCGGGAGCTCTCCTCCCCTCCTCCCGCCCCCCTGCTCACCGGGTGCATACGTCACGTCCCCACCAGCGAACTTGGTCAGCCAGGTGCACCAGGCCGCAACAGCCCTGGGGTACATAGAGGCGGGGATGGGAGGGAGGGATGGGAGGAAGGGCGGAAGGGGGGAAGGGGGAAATAGGTATAATTAGGACATTTCAGGGCAATGCAAGGCGGTAGGGGGACGTGCGGGGCAGCGCGATGTAAGGGCTCCATGGGAGCTAGGGACCTCTCCCGCGTATCGCTACGATACTCGCAAGCGGGCAGATATACACGTCCGGAAAGAATGAAACCTTCAACACCGCAACGTTGCATCAGCTTTCCTTCCTGCTAGACCTGGGTAATAGGGTAGGTAAGTCCTTGGTAGACAGTCGACCTGTACCGATAGCAGCATTGCACGCCGCTGTGCGGCCTTCTCGTCATTGCACCATGTCATCACTCGCTCTCTAGTGTTGGCCTCAGGTGTGGGTGTGTGGGTCCCGGTGCGGGCGCACGTGTGGGGAGGGCGGGTGGGGTTGCTGCCTGCTCTCAGTCGACCTACGTACTACCGCACCACCCACTTGTCTGCAGTTCCTGGTGTGAAGTATTGGGGCGGCGGCAGGGACAGGTCCGTGCCTTCCACATCACTGGCCGCGGCCGCCTCTTCCCCCTCCCGCTGCTGCCGCTGCTGTTGCTTGAGCTTCCTCTCCAGCTGCTGCCGCATCACGGCTCTCTCCTGGTAGTGCAGGAACAAAAGGTCCTGGAGGAGAAAGGATTCAGGGATGAAATGAGAAGGGGGGGACCCGGGGGGTTCAGAGGATGACGGAGCAGCACGTGGGCTGGGGCGGTGTGGTGATGTGTCACGACAGCTCAGGGGATAGCCGCGGGAGGCCAGGGGGTCCATCTGGGTACCGGGTGGGGCTGCTGGGGCTGCTGGTTCCCCACCGGGGTAGCTGTTGGGGAGCAGTCAGCCAGACACGGGAAGGTCCAACCAGCCAGCCAGCTCTCCCTCTCAGCCCGGTCGGCCCTGCCCCCTCCCCCATCTTAGGTTGGACGTCGCGAGCTGTTCTCCGAGGTCCCCAATCTCACCGCAGCAGCCACCGGGATTCCGAGCCCCGACCCTTAAATACCGCACAGCACGTCCACATCACCACGAAACCCCCAAAAGTTGAAACAGGCTTCTCTCTCCCCCAGCCCGTCTCTCCCCGGGGTCCCCCCCTTCCCTCTCCCCCAGCCCCTACTCATCGTCACCTCACCTGGTGCAGGAAGAGAGGCCCCAGCAGGTGGGCGAGCCAGACGGGCAGCATCTTGGACCCCACGAAGCCCACCACACTCCTCCCGCCCCCCTCGTTGTCGGGGGAGGAGACCATGATCTGTCGGTTGATCAGCCGCGGCGGAGATACCCCCGGGGAGGAGGACACGAGGGCAATGAAGGAAGGGCCTTCAGCGTGGGCCAGTTGTTAGCTGCGGCCATCAGGTCCATGAGAGGAGACAACGCATGGAGAGGGGTTACCGGAGGGGCCGGGCCGATCTGTGCGCTGTGTGCTGTGCTCTTCTGTACTCGTCAAAGCACAGCACAGCACCACACAGCACATCACGGAAGTGAAACGGGGTGCTGGCTACGGCGCCTAGTCAACCTACCTACCTACAGACGGGACGAGCCACCGGGCCCGGTCGCATGCACCTGGTAGCGCTAGCACTTCACACGACGCGGCAACGGCTGTGGAGCGGTGCACGTGGTGCTTCCGCCCCACCTCCACCCACCGCACTTGCAGCAGTCCAAAACCCCCCCCGGGACTCACGATGGGCTGCCCAGCCGCGGCGGGAAGGCCGACCCCTTGCAACCCACCATATCACCCTACAGCAGCCCAACAAAACCAAACGGATACACCTCTTCCCCTGCAAGCCCTTTTTTCCATGAGCCCAACGCCATGTAGCTCTTCCCCCTCCCTCCCTCCCTCCCTCCCCCCCCCACCTGCTGCCCCACCAGCCGTGTCCATCCGGGCCTTATGGGGGTACTGAACAGCGCAAGAATAGTACGGCTGCCGTCCCGGTTCTCCGACTGGATCCTGTTTGGCGGGAGGACCAGTCCACCACAATAAGAACACCACCACCACCACAACCACCCGGGCGGGGATTGCCAGTTGGGTACGGCCTTCATTACATATCCCCCCCCTCCCGCCGCAAGCGGACCTTCCCGCCAATCTCCCCTCCCCATCCACGACCCGGGCTATTCCCGCTCTGACTGACCGGGTGCCGTCCAAGTTTGCTCACAGCCACTATCCGTGGTCCCCCTGGGGCGCCTGCGCCGCCTCCAGGTACATTTGCCCAATTCGAAGTCTGAGACCGTTCGGGAGGCATACACCGACTTCACCCCCCCCGGCCTGGTCAGGTGGGTGGCGGGGGAGCGGGACAGTTGTGTTTCGGTGCGGCGGCGGGGTCAGTTCCCAGTGTACAGCAGTGTATGTATGTGTGGAGGTTTGCTGGTCGCAGCAGCTGCTGCTGTCACCCCTCCGCCTTCAGGCTTTGGAACCCGATCTGCTTTGGAGTCCCACTTAATAATGGAACCTCGCATGGTCTCGTAGTCCTGAAGCATCCATCTCCATCTAATCCCACGCAAGGTGTCAATATACCCAAATGGTACAGCACCACGGCATCCACCCGCACGTCGGCCGGGGAGGAGGTTCACATCATGCAGGCGAACCGGTCAGACAGGGCCCCGCAGGGTCATCAGGTCAGGGAGTAGGTCCTAGCAGGCTGGCCTCTATTCACCCCGGCACCAAGTCAAGTCAAGCCTTGGAGCATGGCCCTTATCAAAGTCTTGATACCGAACACTCATTTGTTCTGCACCCTGCTAGAGCTCCCATGGCACCACACCCACCCACCGCGCCCACCCACCGCCTGTCTTGCAACCGTGGCCTCCACAGCGGCTTGCCACCCCACCCCACAGCAGCGGCGTGCTCAGTGGATGGCATGCTGCATTGCCACCGCTGCTGCCGCTGTCGAGGAGATGGGAGATGACATGGCCACCTTTCTCCGCATGCCAGGCCGAGGGCCTGCAGCATGCAGCGGGGAAAGCAGCAGGGCCGTGTTGGAGGTGAAGGGGCATGGAGAGATTGGCCAAAATACAAACCGCCCAACGGCATTGGTCACAATCTGACGGCACAGAGAAGCCAATACTCGGTGTGTGTCGCAGGGAGCATCAGTGCATTCAAGCGCAAAGCTCAGACTCTTTTGCAGCAACCAATGCAGCAGGCCCTGCTGCAACCAATGCTTTGTGTTGTGTTGTGCCGTGTTGTGCCATGCCAAGCCACGGATAAAAATAGCTTACACCGCACTGCACTGCCACCGTGTAGCACCCCCACCCCCCACCTCCCGGAGACTCCCACAGCACACTCACTTGCAACAGCTACACGCGCTGCAGGGGCCGCCGCTGCGACTGGTCGTCCATGTACAGGTACCCATGCTGGAGCTGAGCATCAGTCCTGGAGTGGAGGGGTCATCAGTGAACAGCTGCATGTCGATGTGCTGCTGCTTGTAGTTGTAGTAGAAAATGGTCAAGGTGAACTTGTTCACAACAATCTTGGTGAGGTTCGGGAAGAACTCCATCAGCAGCATGCCATCAGCCGCCACATCAGTGCTGAAAAATCTCCTCTTCCTGCTGCCTGCTGTGCATGTAGGTGAAGCCATCGTTCGGCAGCCTAATGTTGACGAAGTCCACGTGCAGTCCTTCCCAGAAGTCCACCGTTGCCAGGTACAGAATCCCAGCGTGCACAAACTTGAAGTGCTTCAGCCTTCCCCAGGATGGAGCACGGGTAATCAGCTCCTGAGCCGTTTATCGGCGCTGCTTAAAGTCGTTACTGCCTATGAAATCAAAAATAACCTTATCCAGCAGATACACGTTCTGTCGCCCAGCGGGCTGCAGGAACAGCGTTTGGAGGTGCTCTCGGGCAGCATCGTGGCCACCCTGGAGGTGCTCGTTACCCGCTGTTGCTAGCAACATCTCTACTCTATGGTTCTAGAATTGCACAGCGCTGCCAAACATTTTACACGGCTCAGTGCCCAGCAGCTGCTAGCCGAAGAAACAAGGCCCCAACATGGACACCAACCAGTCTTGAAAAGTAAAACTTTGTTGTGGTGATGTAAGGGCAGCATGGAAATGAGCGGATATGGTTGCACTGAACTGCTTTTGTGGTGTGACAGTGTGTAATGATGCAAGGCCCATCTGAGCATCTCGGGTTATGCCTTTGCTGTGTTACAAAGTTACAAATGGTATTGAGACCATTGTACACCATGTAACACAGTATACCCCATCCAGGGACCAGCTTGCTCAGAACGATTGGGAGCATTAGCTGCCATTCCATTGTAACATTGTAACACAGCTAAGGTGTAACTGGGGGTACTCAGATGGGCCTTGCATCGTTACACACCGTCACACCACAAAAGCGGTTCTGTGCAACCATTTCCACTCATTTCCATGCTGCCCTTACATCAACACAACAAAGTACAACATTTCAAGACTGTTGGTGTCCATGTTGGGGCTTTGCTTCTTCTGCTGCAGCTGCTCGCACTGAGCCACGTAAATTTTTTGGCAGCCCTGTGCAACTCTAGAACCATAGAGTAGGCATGGCACTACCTACAGCAGGTGATGAGCACCTCCAGGGTGGCCACGATGCTGCCCGAGAGCATCTCCAAACGCTGTTCCTGCAGCCCTCTGGGTGGCAGGACGTGTATCTGCTGGATAAGGTTATTTTTGACTTCATAGGCAGTAATGAGTTTAAGCAGCATCGATAACACTCTGGGAAAGGTTTTCACCCGTAAATTCATGTTTACCCGTAATCACGTGGTCTTCACATGTAATTACCGGCCAAGAAAATTTGTACACATGCTTGTTTTTAAGTTGCCAAAGCATTCCTTTTATAAGGAATAACATAGGTGACATTTTGTTGGTTGCCCGTGCTGGAAGTCATCCACAGGTTACATTACCCGTAATCACAAAGTCTTGACCCGTAATCCCCCAAGCCGTAATGCACAGCACCCGTAAAATTTTACCCTAAGACGTTTTATGCGTGTGTGTGTGTTACATGGTTGGGGGTGCGTGACCCCATACCTGTAAGACTACCCATACGAGCCGAGGGCCCAAGGGTAATACTACAACGCCTAAAAGCCACGGAGGAAAGGAAAACACCGCACATCAGCCCAGACTAGCGTCTAAAGGGGTTAATTGAGTTTCGGTGAGCCCGCATATGTTCCAATATCCTCGCCGCACGTGCGGGTTCCCATTGCATGGCCTCCAACATGCTCTGTTGATGATCGAATCCTTCTTCAGCACGAATATCATTATAGGCTGGGCATTCCAATAACAGGGGTTCACATCCTCAATTCGGCTATTAGTACCACAACAGTGGCAAAACCGCTGCCCCCTGGGGACGTGGTACTTGCCCCTTCATGCTCTGTTTGCCTCCAAAGCCCAGCAACATAAACGAAACTGCATTACCTTACTATATGCTAAACGAGGAATGAAAACCTTAGCATGTGTTGGCCACATGACGGCTGCGGCTCCTGCTGCTGCTGTTCCCGGCTGCGTGGGTACCACACCACTGAAATGTCTGTGTCCGTATCCGTGCAGAGGCGATGGATCTCCGCCACTATGGGCAGGCAAGCGGTGTTGCCTTTCATCCCAACCATGCAGAATTCTGCCGGTTGGCTGTCCGTCTGGTATTGCACTGTCCGGCCGTACCAGAGGTTCGGTGCCTGCTCTTGCAACCAGTGCAAGCTGTACAGCAGCGCCCGCAGTTCTCTTTCTGTGCTGCTAAAGTCATTCCGCTGCAGCCGCTGGGTTTCCTGAGCTTTGAAGGGCACAAGCATGCGGCTGTTGGCGCCCAGTTCTTCTCCAGGTAAGAAGGCTGCGAATGCCCTATCTGAGGCGTCCCCGACTAGTTCCGTCATCAGTCGTAGGGCTGGTCCTTTCCGCCAGGTGGCTGTCCCGTTGCGCCTGCCCAGCAGCTCCATAAACAAGCCTGCCTGGTGTAGCACCTCCGCCGGGTCCCAAACCTCTTCGTCCCACGCCACGCCCCGGGCTACGCACCACACCATCCACGCATACAGGGGTGCCGTGGTGACGGCGGGCGTCATGGCGATGATTTTGCCGGCCACCTGCGCCACCGGCCGCGCTGTTAGCCGTTTGCCTTCGAGCTGTGTGAGCAGCGTACGGAATCTAGCTAGCTTGTCGTCTGGTCCTCTGAATGCTCGCGCCTCCGCATCCACCTCCATCCCCAAGAAACAGACTCGCCTTCTTGGGATCAGCTGGCACTTGGACAGGCTGAGGGTGAAGCCTAGGGCTGCCAGCAGCCGTACCACCGCCCCACACTCGTACTGTGCCGCGGTCTTCGACCCCGCGGCACCCATCTGGTCGTCTATCAGGAAAGACATGCGGACCCCTAGCTGCCGTAAAGGCTGGAAAACCTCGAGCTTCATGCTTGTGTACAAGTGGCAGGCCGGCACCAGGCCGAACGGCAGGTGTGGCCAAAAAAGCGTCTGCCCCCGCCACCGCATAGCCAGATATGTGTGCTCCCGTTCGTGGAGTGATAGCTGCCAGTACCCGCTCTTGTGGTCCGTGGTGTACAGCCAATCTTCCGGTAGGAGGTAGCTAGGTACATCTGCCAGTCGTTCGTACTTCACAGGCCGGTACTTCAAGAAACAGTTAATGTACATCGGATTAATACAGAGGTGCAGCTTGCTGTCTTTTTCCACTACCCGCAAGCCATTGATAACCGTGGGGGGGGGCGTGTCTGGTGGCCATTTCCGTATCACCCCTCAGTCAAGGGCCTTTCTCAATTCGGCTGTAACAAACTCACCGTGCCGAGTCGCGCTGCAATGGTTAGGAAACTGCACGGCTCGCGGCCGGTCACCCGCCATGATAAAGTCTAGGTCGCAATCCGGCGCTGCGACCCGCAGCATTTCCCGCACTATAGCTAGCTTGCATCCCCGCTCCGGGGCTAGTTCTTGCCCTGGGTAGTCGCACGGCACCCACTCCAGCTGAATTCCGCCCTGCAGGTATCCCAGCCACCGTTTCTGTTTGTCCGTGAGGGGCCGGCCTTCGTTAGCTGCCTGAAAGAACACTCGCCACACTGCAACATGTAGACGTATCCTTCCTGGTTGGAAGTCTTCAGGATCTGGGAGCAAACAGACGACCTCTTCGAGAAACTCCTGTTCATCCCGCGGATCTACCGCGTCCTGTTGCCCCAGCCGCTGCAACCTCTGCCAGGCTTCCTGTAGCAGCTGGAGTGCCTCCCTGCCCCCAGCGTTGCGGGCACTCGCTTGCCAGGCTTCCTGTAGCAGCTGGAGTGCCTCCCTGCCCCCAGCGTTGCGGGCACTCGCTTCCCAGGCTGGTGCTAGTCCTACACCGCTGGATTTCCACCCTGTCGGCTGGTGACTCACCCACTGGTCGTCTTCGCAAGGGTCATCTTCCAACAACAGCAACTCGGTCGGATCCCTTCCGTCGCCATCCTGAGTGTCTGCCGGGTAACCCACGTCAGGTTTCCTGTCATCGTCCCTTGCCGTTCCCTGCGTGCTCTCAGTCGACCTGGTTAGCATAGGCCTCTGGGCTTGGGTCTCCTATAAACCGAATAATAACCGGTGGGGCGGGAAACAGGATAAGAGGGTCTTGGAGCTTACACTTAGGTGTCCAAAAGGCAGAGCTGCCCTCTTCCATACCAAGCTCTGCACCCTGCTGTCCCCAGCCCCTGAAATGGCAGTCATGAGCCGCCCGTCCAACACCTGGACCGCGGCAGGCTTTTATTCCAGCCGTTCCCACCGACAGAACCGGCCCACCAGCAGCTACGAGACCAGAACAGTCGTGTCGGCAGCTGCACGTGGTGCCTATTCGAGGCACACACGGAGGCCAATGTCGGGCGCGGGGCCACCGTGCGCTTCCGTGGCTACACCCAAGCAGTCAGCCAGCACTTCATAAAGCGGAATGCAGGCAAGAGCCTGAAGGTCGGCGCCCGGGCTCTCAAGAAGACCCATCGGCATTTCGTCAGCACGGGCAGTGTCATGCAGGCGATGTACAGGATGCTCCACCTTGGGACTCCACACAAGATCACGCAGAAGCAGTTCGATGAGGCGGCGCTCCAGACTGGGTGCAAGGGCCTGACTGCCTTTGCGGCCCTGCCGTACGTCGACCTGTCGTGCCTCTTCACCGTCTCCACCGGCCATGCCCTGCTGTTCGGAGTGGTCAGCGACTTTGTGGACTACACGCTGAGGTCGCTCAAAGACATTAAGCCAGCAGACCCAGATGCCAAGCTGGTCATGTCTCGTGAAGCACGCCAGCGGGTCGCGGCCCGCGGCCAGTTCCTGGTTGTGACTTCGGACTTCGGGCGGCGGTACAAATGCATCATGCAGTACCGGTGAGCACGGCCAGCACTGGGCAGCCGGCCACACACGGGGGTCGCTAATAGCCGAGAAAGCAAATACGACCAGGGGCTTGCCTGAAAAAAACACCTTTGTCTGTCAGAGAGTTTACTACTCTACCTATGTAATGTACTTCTTCTAGTTACACGGTTGCTCGCCACACTGCCCCCCTCCACCCATGCAGCAAGAGCTACCGCATGGAGGACTGGCTGCACTTCGTTGAGACGTTCTCCAGCTACATCTTCAAGGGGGACGTGCTGCCCGAGGCCTTGCGGGCCCTGTGTTGGAGCCTGTGCAGCACGGTCATGCACTACTTCCGGCCGCGGCCACCCGACGAGACCCGTGAGCAGTTCCTGGTGGCAGCCAAGGCGGCTGCATGCAAGCTCAGAGCTTACATGACCAGGCTGGAGGAGTTGGAGGTGCTGGGCTACATGTTCACGGTCAACCTGCACATCTGCGTATGCCGGCTGTACGACCAGGAGTGCCAGCTTGGGTCCACGGCAGGGTTCTCCGACCTGCCGGTGGAACACATGATGCAGCAAATGAAGACGCAAGGCGGAAGGATGGTGTCACAGGCACCCGAGAAGCACTACACGCAGTGGCTGTGCCTGATGTGGGCCTCCGAGTCGCTCACCGAGGCAGACCCCGCGACCGGGGCCAAACACACGACCAACCAGCAGCTTGAGAGGATGTTGGCACAGCGCGCAGTGAATACCGAGGCTGCCTGGTTTGATAAACCAGGAGGCAATGGTTACCTGCTTGGACGAGGCCACATGGTCTACCCGAGTCCAGAACGAGTGGCACAAGTCCGGGCAGCCATGGCGAGCCTATTGCACTGGTATGCCCTGGCATTCGAGGATGTGGCTTCCTGGACATTGGGTCCCAGTGCGAGCTACGAACTGGACACGGACCGCCTGGATAGGGTTCTCATGTCTACACCACCCGACTGTCCCAAGGCCCGCTCCTTTTTGCGTGCCGAGGCACTCGATGAGTAGCAGTACTTCGGGGCTGAGTATGGGCGCCAGCAGCAGCGGACCTCCTGCTGGGCATGCTACCAGGCAGAAGTCGGCAACGAGACTCAGACGTATGTGGCCTACCTCAAGTACTTCGTCCACCTGCCCGCAGAAGACGGCGCTCAGGATGTCCGCTTCGCTGTCGCAGATGTGTACTCGGGACAGGTGTTCAGCGGGGGGCTGGTGGTGGTCAACATGGCGGCCGCCCAGACAGCGAGGGCAGGCAGCCAGTGGGAGATGTGGCAGGACCTAGGGTTGCCGCTAAGTGAGCTGGAGGGCAAGTTCTGCACAGCCGCCCTGGAGGGGGACCGAAAGGGGCTGATGTACTTCATGCCATACACACACTTCACCAACCGCTGAGCAACCGCAGCAATGAGGCCGATGGATGCACCCTTGTCTGGT